CAAGGTCGTTTACTGTTGTCGATTTATACTGTAACACTCATTTCTAATCATATTCGACTGAACTTGATAAAATGATGTTCGCTTACATAGATTATATCCCATGGTTTCTTGTCTCTGAGTACAAAAGTCGATGACATCGAACGGCCTTCCATCAGCTCAGGAACCATTTTTTCTGGGAACGGATGACCCCTGATTGATCAAAGAGTTTATAGTGAGTATTGATCTTAAAATAACTGTGTATTTTTGATGCCATGGTGTGTATTAGATCGATATGTGATGAAAATAATACAGAATAATGGATTTCGCTAGGAAATGGTACGTTGTTCTTTTTTTTTTAGAGAAACCCTGAAATCATTCTCTTGGTTTAAGTGAAAATATAAGAGGAGGATAATCGGAATGCAGTAACAACAGAATAGTTGTTCTGGTTTGTAAGTTCGAAAGTTTCATCTGTTCTGATTATCTTTCGATGATGTCTTATGTATTTTCATTCCGGGGTAATAAAAGAAAAATAATGTGACCTACTTGCTGTACTTGTTGATGTGGTTGAATTGGGTTTAATCAATAGAGCAACAACAATAACCGAGATAATGATGCCAAGTAGAAGTACAGCCAAGATTGCAGACCACACTATACATGGTCGTGAACATTCAAATAGTCCAAAACAGCGTCTTCTAGAATGAATATAACTGTAAATGAACAAAATATACAAGAAATAAAAAGCTGACCGTTTCCTTATCTTTTTTCGTGAAAGTTTCTCATAACCATCCCCAAAGTTTGGTTCAGCAATATGCGCATCCGTGGTCTAGTTCGAATTGATGTATATGAAAAAGATCAAAAAAGTTTAGAGCCTTACTGTACTGCTAATGCGATTATCAGGCGTCACTGATTTATTAGTGTCAGCTTTCTGCAAAAGACAATAAAGGGGGTGTGACTTCTCATGACCGAATTTCAACACAACTAAGTTTATGAATTTTCACCTGATAAATCATGCCTTTCAATGACATCGGTAGCATTTTGATCGTCCCGTGCGACGTTTCAGGGTTGTTGCCCGAAGCAGATGGTATGGTTTCATGGATTTTTGATGCAGAAGAATCTTGTTGTTGTTGCTCTGAAGTGAGTCGAACATCATCACTACTCCATTTCTTGAGATTCGTCTATTTCAAAATTATTGGAAAGCATGAGATATTTCTGTTGGAATGATATTGAAAGATACATGACAACAAGTAATGATTAATTATCATAAAACAGCCGAGACCCTTCGAACTGTGCTCGCCCTTTTTTTAAAAGAAAATAGTCTAGTTCAAATCTTATTAGTGCAAGGTACGCTTAAATCTGATCGATTTCCACGTATTCTACGAAAGTAGTGCATGAATTTTGGCGAAACACATTTTCAGAAACATTAAGTTAATCGATTTTTTTTATTCACTTTTTCTAATCAGGTCTAAAACTGACCATTCTCCACGCGGACTCCTTCCTCGACTCAATATCTTAAAAATTTGTTGATCGATCAAGCTCAAATGGAAGTTAATGAATTTAACATTTACATGGCTTCTCAAACTTCCTCTGATCCAACCTAGAGCGTGTCGTACAGAGTTAGAGAGAATTCTGAATTGTGTATTTTAATAGAGTTTGACTCATTCGTTTATGACTTTTGTCGGCCATATTTACACTAGTATCCACCTAATTACAGGACAAATGAAAAAGATGACTCTTTTTTGCCTTAAAAAAAAATGGTTCGAGTGTACTCTAATATCACTAAAAATATCACATTTTTTAGCTCTAGTTCTTTTTTTCATTGTAGACTGAACAAGAGCCAGACAAAAGTCGAAACATTAGCCTTAAATCAGGAAACATGTGTGGTATGCTCTTTCTATCTTAGGAAAAAGTTGAGTAAACATGACCACGCTTTTGAATAGAAAGACTCTAATATGAGGTACAAAGTGCACATAGAAACGTTGATTAATCAAGGGAGAAGATGTTTATTGAAGGCATTCAATGTCATTGAGGTATCTATTTTCACTAAAAATCAGTATGTTTGACGGATATGTGAATTAGTAGTTCTTCACAAAATGAATAATTGAATATCATAATTGTGTTAAGTGTTCACGACTCATGGAAATAACAAAACATGAACTCAAGAAAACCACTAATGAGACTTTCAAAAGAACACACAAGGCTTGCTATAAGGAGCTAGAAAATACCTCAATAACGATTAGATACGAGATTTTATATTTCAGTCCAAAAGTACAGAGGAAAAGATTTTCACCATGGTAAAAGTTATCGATGTTTTTAATATCAACATAGTCAGTTCATCGATTTCTACAATATTTTATATTTGAAAGCGGTCTTTAGAATAGCATGTACAACTTAGTACATTCTCCACAAAAATACTCTTTCCATCTAGGAACATATGAACCCGCTTCTGATGAAGAATACCCACAGAAATAGATTATCGATATTTATGTCAACTATAATGACTAAGGTAACTGTAAAGATTATTTTCTCTCTTGAGATCCAATATTTGGAAGCACTCCTCTATTGTAATAGCAATATTCTAAGAATACAGCCGAAAGGTCTCTATCAACTGACTCCTATGGATTCTTGCTAAAAGCGACTGAGATCTAATGGATCAATGATCGGATGCATACCTTGATAATTCCATGCTCTGAAAAGTTTGTCGGGAAAGACTATTCGAAAAAGAAAATATTATGAAAAAAAGAAAAAATGCAATAACGGACCGAACGTTGGTCATAATTCATCAGCTTTCCGTCTGAATCACCATGATGCGTTGCTGGCGCAACTTTTTTGTGAATAATACCAGTTGATTTTGGCTGTGAATTTGTTTTTGAATTAACGATCGAATGACGTTGATGTTGTACAGAAACTTTTACAACTTTTGGAGCGAATGAAGAAGGTTTAGAATGACGTATTACTGCATCTCGACTACGAACGTTGATCATGTCTACTGATAAAAAGTTGTGTCTCAAATGTTGAGAACCTGAATTCACACTTTTTTAATCAATGTCCGCAAGAATAAGGCTTCGTTGAATAAACAATAGAAATACAATGGATAATGAAAAAAATGACGTTCTATATTGTACCTGATTGAAAAAAAGCAAAATAATGCAATTGCACAGTTCTCTTTTCACATCAAGATCAGTAAGAGTTGAAGTCAATGGCAATATTGATTGAAAAATAAAATTTTAATCAGATTTGTTTGCCAACCTCATACACATCTCTGTAAATGAAACAGTCAAGACCATTAATGAAGAGAATGTTTCATTGCATCCTACGAAATAAAAACAATGCAAGAGAATAATTTATTTTCACACATTCTGATCAAATTTTTCTCGCAGACAAAGGATGATTGAAGTCAAAAATAGAAATTCGTAAACATGAAACACATTCATACGCCTTTTTTTCAAAGCAATGAACAGTTTTCATCATTTTTATTCGTAAAAATCATTTAATGAAAAGATGTAAAAGTAATGAAAATTAATCAAATGATTTTGATTCTGAAATCATTAAATTCATGAAGTTGTTTTGATGAAAAATCTAAGAAAAATCATCTCAATAAAGTTGTTTTCATTTTTAAGTATATGTTACATCGTCTAAGTCAAAGTGTATATGAAATTCACATTTAGATTGTATCAGATATTGTAGTAAAAAGATTTTGTTGAGTAAGATTAAAAAAAAATATTTAAATGTCATGTCATGAGAACGAAAAAATAATTGATTTTAAAATAGATAATGATAAAATCGAAATGACATTGCTAGAATATACGGTGAAGGTTCTTCTTTGATTGATTTAGTCAATCTTATATGATTATATGTATGTTTGAATTCATTCTTAAGAAGAATAAATATTGACTTTTGATGCAAACGGCTATCTTTGAGAAGAAGAATATGTCACAAATAAGTATAATATATTTGTAAAAAAAAAAGCACATTCGTAACCATGTTTCTCTTTCAAATCGTTCACGATATTTTTCTTTTTTTTTCATTAGTAGTACGTGATTAGTTCAAAGGGATGCTCAATAAATACTGAAAAGTATGTATTACTTAGGTATATATGTATATTAGTTGAATAGTCCATCGAAAACGCTTTGAATATATAAACTTGTGAAAAGTATTTCAATGTTCTAACATTCGAAACAAATGCAAGCACTAGTCAACAAATATGCATTTGAAAGTATAAATATCAATCGAATGAATTGAGGTGCGACTGAAATACTATTATTTTACAGCTTTGTAATTTTAAGTTTCATTTTTAAAGAATTTTTCATTGTTCTTTTTTCGGTCTACACATTGAGATTTCATATTTTTTCCATAACATTTTAGACATCATGAGATGAAGAGAAGAAGAAATTTAAAACTAATTCCAGCTGCAGACATCGGACTTGTGCCAATCATGCTATCAGCAGTATAGATAGTATTTGCATTCGAAACCTATCAAACCCTTTGAAATACTTCATTGAATAGTGTCTAAACCTTTAGAGTAACTTTGTCTTTAGTTGAATATTATTGTAGACAAGTCCCAGAAAATAAACTTCTTCGAAAGAGCAATCTTGCAGATAATTGCATGATCTTTTAACTGAAGAAAAACTATATACTAGAGTTCAGCGGCATATTGAAACATGAAACATTAGTCATGTACTTGTTCACGAGTAACACAAAATTCAGTAGACATCTTTATCAACTTATAACGTTTAAAACAAAAAAAAAAGGTAGCATCCATTTTAATTCTTAATAGTTTTAAGCAACTGAAAAAAGTCTATGGTTCTAGTTACTATTCTTGGTGGATGAGATCTAGTGGGATGGAGACTTTCGCAGTGATAGTTGAATTGAGATACAATTATTCTACATTCTTATAGATCTAAACCAAATAACGAAAATGTTTACTCAATAGTATTTTCTTTTAGATTCGAAATCATTTTCAAATGTTTAAGATTCTCATCATTATCTATTTATCTCTCAATTTCAAATTCTTATCATGTACAATGAACAATTCCAAACCAGTATTAACTCTTGACGAATTTTTCAATTATACAAAATTTCCATCATTGACTTTTTCGCCAAATGGTCAATATTTACTTATTCAAAAGAATCGTCCATCATGGAATTCAAATTCATATGAGAATAGTCTTTGGTTATATGAGATCAAAGAACAACAAAAGCAATTAATTACAAGTCAGCTTGATCCTAGTTTTCGACCACGATGGTCATCAAATGGAAAACGAATTCTATTTTCACGAGAGAAACCCATGTCCTTGAAATCGGGAAAAAATCAGCGATTAATCGCGATTTATCGAAACGATAATCGTGCACTAAATCGCGATTAATCGCCGATTTTTTACGATAATTTCAGCGATTTTTACGATAACTCGCGATTTATCACCGATTTTTTATATATCAGCCGTGGTATTATCGTTGATCGTACCTCATATAATCACGATTAATCGCCGTTCTTTTACGATAATTTCAGCGATTTTTACGATAAATAGCGATTTATTTACCGATTTTTCATATAACAACCGTGGTATTATCGTCGATCGTACCTCATATAATCCCGACGAATCAGCGATTTTGCTTTAGATCGACTACATGTATTCATTTTTTTTTAATTAGCTTTTATTTAGAAAAAAATAGAAGTAGAAATCAGAGAGGGAAATCAGATCAATTACAATTGGTACGATAAATATAACAAAATAATATCTCATGGAAAGTTTTTCAATAAGAATATTAATTAGAAATGTTCATGTGTTTCTGCATTGTTGATATTTTGTGGAATTGATGGTGGTAAAGATGGTAATTGATTTTCATTATTATTATCACCAATATTGTCACCTATAAAAATGAATCATTGAAATATATATTAGGATTTGGAAAGACATACCTGGTTTAGCACGTGTTGCTATTTTTTTTTGTATTTCGTCGTCGTGATTTAATACACTCAAGCATTGGTTCCCAAACAGTCATCGTCAGATGATATACCATAAGACTCAACCTTATTTAAGATATTTGAGGCTGCTTGTTTTTTTTTCAAACGTTGCTGTCGTAGTCGGCTTGCTCGACTAGTACATGGTATTTGAGAGTTAAACATCTAAAAAAATAAAATATTTAGATGAGATAAATGAAATATATATGTTATGACCTAAATTAGAATTCAGCCTAATTAAGACTTCGTCCAGACGAAATTACAATGCTAATTTGGACTAGACGAAATTGAAATAATTTCTCAATGAATGAGAATAGGTAAAGAAAGGCATGATTAAAGTACCAACAACTACTTTTTTTTACAAATTTTTTAACAAATATTATATAAATCTTAAGTTTATTCAAGTTCATATTACATAGAGCAGAAACAACTTGTACGATTTTAGTTATTTTATGAAAATCATCAATAGCTCCTCTGTAAACACTACTCAAAATAGCATTGGTTTTGAGACGTTGGTTAATATTCTCGATAGCCGCTCTTGTAGTACTAACATTAAATGTAATAATTCAATTTCATTTATCTTATTATGACTGTAGTTGTGAAGCCAAAATCTGATGTATTTATATTTCTTTTTTGTATAATTATAAATTTAATTTTGTTTATTTAATAAAAAAAATATACACCTGAATAAAAAAAAAAGTTCGATTAACCACGATTAATTCCGATTAATCACGATCAATTCCGATTAATCAAACTGATTTTTCCCGATATAACAATTAATCGATTCTCTTGTATATATCGCGATAAAATCTGATTTTATCGCCGATTTCTTAAAGGGCCCCCCCCCCTCAGGAACGAACTTTGTTATTTTTCATCCGATTTCAACCAAAATATCAGGGAATGTTAGTCTTGGCTAGAATAGGTTATCGTTAAAATATCTCCTCCAAATCTCAAAGTTATATATGGGTTCTAGGCTCTTTATTGGTCAAAAATAGGGCAAGTTTTTTGCAATAAAGATACAAGCTAGAGTGATGGGGCAGCTTTCAGATTGTAGAGTGCCCTTAGGGCTAGGACTTGACAAGACCCGATTTTTGAGTTTCCCTTTATTTGATTTTTAAAAGACGTTTTTCGAAAAACTTTCAAATTCAAGGTGCTAATGAAAATAAAGTGTCTCAGCTTTTTATTTCAGCAAAAGAGAAATTTAAAAATCGGAGCCTGTCAAGGCCTAGCCCTGCATGTCACCTATATAATAAAAAAAAATTATCATTTCCATGTCGAATCGTTATGGAGAAAAACCTGCCCGTATACACTGCACACACGAAAAATCTGATTTTGAGAAAAACGAAAAACAAGGCTTTTTAGTGCAGTAAGTGTCTTTATTCGAAATAAGTCTACTTATCTTCCTAATATTTTCACACTATTCATTAAGCTATATTGATAGCCTATATGGGGACATATCATAATATGGTTAATGGTACATATCGTACCGAAATTGTGGTCGTAGTTTCTTATACGTAGATGTCACGTCATGTTACGGATGTTTTATCAAATGTATGGTTAGTTCGCGTAATTATATTTATAAACTTTTACCTATTCAAAATGGTTGTATATATTTCACGAAATATATTTCACGAAAGCATTGTCCCTATACAACGCATAGGACAGAAAATGAATTACATACTTGTATAAATGCGTGCATTCAATTCAACATCATTGAAACCTTTATGAAATTAACTTTTGTGTTAGAAAGCTACAAGCATTTACATACAATTGAAGTTCATAAAAGATATTTCATAATAACTGAGAATACAGTGTTAATGATATTTTTCATTCCTTTGTTTGAATGATAGAACTGAAATTTTTACGACATATAGAACTAATCAAGATCTTTTAGTTTTGAAAGTTTCAGCTCTCTGGCTACGACTAACGGTACAATACACCGATCAAATTGAAATACATAAGTTTTCATACTCACTTTTTACCCCATTTTTCGGTAAAAATCGAATACGAAACTTTATGTATTTCAATTCGATTGATGTATTTTATCGGTAGTCACAGCTAGAGAGTTGAAACTTTCAGAACTAAAAGATCTTGATTAGTTCTATATGTCATAAAAATTTCAGCTCTATTGGTCAAACAAAAGTATGAAAAATATCATTAACACTGTATCCTCAGTTATTATGAAACACCCTTTTTGCCTCAGTAGCACATCCTCAGAAAAGAAATTCGCCAGAAAAAAAGACCAATGTACACGTTTTGGCAAAACAAATTATGCTAGGTTGTAGTTCATTACAAGGGCTATCAGAATATGTATAAATCTCAAAATCGAGTTTTTTTCGAAAAATTGACTTTTCTGAGGGGGGGGGGCCCTTAAGCAAATACGATTAATCACGATTTTACGCCTGTTTTTTCCGATAATCGGCAAAATTGCCCCGATTTTCACGACATGGGTCTTTTCTTTAGACAGCGACACTCGAAGAACTGAAACTTTGGTGTGAAACTTTGTGCATGTAGAATATTTAACTCGAATAGCATACATTAAAAAATTGACGTTTTTTGCGAACAAAATCTCTTCAAGATACGAAGTAGAATTGTAACTTGATCGATTGATTTTCATCGATTTAAATGTTTTTTTTTCGTATAAATCTTATTGACACATTAAGTTTTCCTGTAAGAATCAAGTAAAGAAATTCATAGACCGGCCATCTTTTGCTGGTTTCTACTGATTCAAGAATTTTTGAATGGAGACTCAAAATTATTTCATTATTTTTTGGTGGGTCCGGACTTGACCGTACTCATAGAACTTTTAATAAAATTTCCTAATCCGAATATGATTGTCGCATTGTAAATCGAATATTCTTTTTTTATATTTTCCTATATGATAAATAACATATTCTATATACAGTAAAACCTCCATACTGTGGACACTTTTTTCCGGTCCCATCATTAATAAAGAACCTCTTGAAAGTGGAAAGTTGTTCTGATTTCATGACATTATCGGTACAGTATCAAAAGTTAGAAAGAAAATTTTTAATGCAAAACTCTAAAATCTTGCATGTGACTATGTCGCGATTTCTCATGCTGAAAATCAAGTCTTGTCTTCTGGATTCTTCTTTCTAGATACCCAGTTTCTGTAGTTTTTGGATGTTGAGATATTTCAATTATTATTTTAAATTGAATTACTCTTCGACAATAATCAGTATTCTATTTATCATTATTTAAAAACATTTAACTTATTTGCAAACGTTTCGGGAGCATCACTTTCTTCTTCTATGCATTTTAACAATAAATTATATAACAGAACAAAAACAATTGTATTTTTCTTTTTCTTCATTGATCGTCCTTGATTACTGATACGGAAGTAAATGAATTTTAACTCATCTCATTCAGTATTATCGTTTTGTTTCTTCTTCCATAGCAGTAATTAAGAATGATTAACGAAGAAAAAGAAAACTAACATTGTCGTTTTTTTTCTGTTATGAAATTTATTTTTAAAATGCACAGAAGAAAGCAGATACTTTCAAAACGTTTCTAAATGAATAATTGGTCTTTAAATAGTATTAAAAATATGAGGTGTGGGGTGGCTGTGGATGGATGTGGGGTGTAAGCTAGATTAGAGGATATGCAGACCCTACACCCACACCCAACTGCCAATATTTCTGAGATCTTTGTACAGTTTTTCAAGATTGGGTCAAGCGAAACTCATGAACTGACGCGTTACTTGCATTTACGAGCTCTACACTTATTTATTTTTTAACCTCGACTTCGTCGATTGTTGAAAAGCGAAATTTGACAATAGCAGATTGATTTGCACTTTCGACACACAAGTCGATCTGTTTCTCACTTGAGTATTGTGACGAAGACGAATGTATCAGAAACTTTTGCTACAAGTCTTCTTTAAAGGACAGAAGTGCATTTGAAGAACAAATGTCTATGTTTCGAATTCGAAGATTACGATCTTAGATGTTAAAATTGTCACATACGAAGCGGGCGCATAATTTTTCAGATAACATAAGAAGTAAGTATAGTATGTTGATGTGTGGCAGTTAAAATAAAAGTCGAACATTATGGTGGACTTATTAGTCCCAAGTTAACGACTTTAAATAAATGACATGTTTCTTCTTCACAATATCATACTCATATCTAACAAAACCAAAATCTCTCCCTGGCCAAATTAGGAATTCTTCTTCTTCCGGAAAATCAGATAGCGATGATACGTCTCTACCAGAAAGAGTACGTTTATTGTCCTTATGACGCAGATTTAGATCAATAATGAGAAGTGTATTGCCATTGTAAAAGTCAGCAACTTCGCGGCTACGACTTGTAGAAATGAACGATGTGAATTTCATTACTTCTTCCATGAATTGCTTTTGCTGTTCATCGTCTAGATTTAAACTACGATATACTGTTAGAACATCTGTTGTAGGATTATCATACAAATACCAATCAAGTAGCCAACAGAATGGTCCTAAGCTTTTCACTTGTTCAAGAGTGATAGAATGTGGATCACGAAGAATGCGATTAATTAATTTATACCAAAATGACTCTTTTGTATAGAGATAGGCGCATGTTTCACCGATTTCCGAAGGAAAGCGCTGAATAAAGTTTGCGTTGATGTTGGAACCAAAACCTTTGACAGCTACTAATTGCTGAGAGAGCCATTGTGCTTCATGTACTTTACCAATTGCTGATCCTTCTTTAATAATTCCATGAGCAGCCTCTTCAACAACTTCAGCAATTGTTTTATTCTTGTTCTGTAGTTGCAGGTTCCAATAACAACCCGTAATATAACCATATGTTCGCAGCCAATCAAGTTCCTTTTCATTCTGCGTCTCCTGAGATGAAAATGTTGAAGTAGCAAGTATCACTGGTAGTAAAA